AAAAAAGAATAAGTAAAATGATGAAAAATTATTACATAAAGAAGTAATAAGTAATAAAACAACATGATTTATTACCTTTCTACCGATAATAAGTAACAAACGTTTATTACTTTTACCGGATAATGTAATAATTGGTAAAAGTAAAGTAGCACCCCTAAGTCTTATATCAATAAATACCTTCTTTTCCACTACATCATCACTGGATATTGCACTGATATTTGCCGGTGGATCGTCGTTGGAACGGATAACGACAAATAAACCGATTATTTTTAGTATTGAAGTTAATTCATTTATTGAAAATACTCGCCCGTATGCGAATGTTAATTTTTATTCAGCGTATGAAGAAGAAGATGAAGTATTATTGGCATTAGGATCGATATTTAAGGTGGAAAAAATCGATTTCTTATCTGTTAATGATAATGTTCAAGTGATACATTTAAAAATGATTGATGAAAATGACTTACCACAAGAAAATCTTTCAAATGATTTATCTCAATTATTTTGCCGAACAAGCTATTTTAGGTAAAAAAAGAAATTCTATTTATTTGAAAAACATAAAAATGTTTTTTTTTATTCAAGATCCGATCTATGTTTTGGTGGGTTTAAATGATTTATTTAAAGTAAATGAACAAAGTGAACAGATTAAATCTATACTTGAAGGTTTCGATGTTCAATTTTTTGATAATACTGATGATTTAAATGCTCATACGAAATTGAGAAGGGCAATACAATCTTTTCTGATCTTTATTGATAATCGATTATATATTCCTGAAAGATATCAACAATTTCGAACTTATCGTGTCAATTTTCGCTCAATATTCAAAGACGACTTCAATATTTTCTATCGAACGTATCTTTCATCGATAATAAATCGTACAATTTATCTTCGAATCTCCGACGATGAAGACACACCCTATCAATGTGTCAACCATTGGAATAGAATATTGGTATTTCCAATATGCCAATAGTATGGATAGAGCAGCCAGACGTAGTCTCGTTTGTAAGAGTAGTTTGTTTGGTCACTCCAGTGACCACTGACGGCGGGGGGGAGAAACGACTTGAAAAGATCCTATTTGGTCTTCCGTTAATTTGATGTAGCTCAATCAAAAAACATGTTAGAGAGCTCGGAGACCTCTCATTTTGTAGAGAATTGTTTGCTCTATCATGCGGCATAGTTTCAATAGAATCTGATTGGCGGATTCTAACTGCTCGACTATTACAGTAATTATAAAAATTGATCAACTATGGGTGTATTTTCGATTTTTTTCCGCAGTCATAAATACGAAATGAAATCTAAATAGTGATTTGAGTAGAAAAAAGTATTTCCAACAAGGATTTGAGAAACTAAAAAACATCACTAGCTTCCCAATAATAGACTTTTCTAGAAAATCAAAACCCTAGTTTTCTAGCATCTAGAATCCACGAATAAAATTCTGTTCAAACTTCGCCGAATGATAGAGCAACCAATTCTCTACAAAACGAGACATCCTCAAGCTCTCTACGACGTTTTTTGATCGAATTATATCAAAGTTACGGAAGATTCAAATAGGATTTTTTCGAATCGTCCTTCTCTCCCGTCAATAGTTACTAAAGTGACCAGGTTATGTCATCAAGTATGCTTCCAAAATCGATTATATTTCTTTCAGTATTATCACTTCAGTTCGACCAAAGGATCAAATAAAGAATGATTGTTGGTGATATATTGTTTTGGTAGTATCTCAATTGATGCATATGAAAAATCCAAGAGAAATCCTTTTCATAAAACAAAATATCCGATTAGCTTTTTATTTCACATTGTTCAATAAAGTCTACATATGTTGTTTCTTTTTTACAATACTTGAAAAATAACAGGAGTGATCATATTAACCCTTTCAATCCGGATCACATCTCCTAGATGTGATTCAGAGTGTAAAATAGATACCTAGCGTCCTGTCGTCTTCTCACATGACGAATATCATATGCAAAATCAAGTACTTGTCTTTTCTTATTTATAACAATAATGATGCTAGATTTTCAACGCAGCTGATCGTGACGACAGAACGCAAGAGAGGAAGAGATTCAGCTATTTTTCTGCGTGTTTCTGCAGAACGCAAGAAAATATCAGAATCGAAAGGTTTACCTTTGAAATAAAACTACAGTAAAAAATTACTTTTCAAGATTATTATACAATTTTCCTTTTTAAATAAAAAAATATAAATAAATAAACAAACTCTTTTCATCGAACAAAAAAACATTTTTGTTAAACAGATGTTGACAATATATTCTCTTTAAAAATGAAACGTTTTAGAATTTTGAATAGAATATGTATTTACATTTATTAAAGAGATTTTTTTTAATACAATAATTTTATCTATTTATAAACAGAAACACAAAAATTTGAATAATTTAAGTTAAAAGGTAAAATGGCGTAGACTGAATATAATTGTGCGTAGCACACTAATAACATTGAATCGATCGAACGCCCTGTTGAGCAGTTGTTTTTGAGTCCTGGTTAATCATTGATGTCGAATTAACTGCCTATGTGATCAAACAAACTGGACGAATATAAAAACTAAATAAAGAAATACGATTGGTGTTACCACGTATGTTCCGCATTGATGGCGAAATACAAAGGTGGATACCTTCTTGGTTTAAACTATTTATTATGATAAAAAAAGAAAAGTAAGAAAAGGTGTATCACGGTATCAGAAAACTTAGAATCGCCGAAGGGCATTGTATTTAATAGTCTGAATTAAATGTACAACCATGCTTCAGAGAAAACTGAGGTGATCTTAAACGCGTACAAAAGAGAAGAAAAACAAACAAAAAAAGAAAACTCAAGAAAGAAACCTTCCTTCACCATGTCGTATCGCAAAAAGGAAAACCAAAAGTGGACAAAAAAATATTATTTCACATTCATTCCTCCTTTTGTTTAATCGATCGGACGATGGATTCAGAATATGTACTAGTGAATGGAAGAAATGTGGCAAGGAAACAAATACTACAGGTTCAGATCAGTTCCATATGCTCGGTCCTGTTGATTCCTTTTTGCATATATATGGTAATAATTAATTTTGGACAATATAAGTATTTCGAACATCTGGAAAGTGTTTCCATCAGCACGATTTGTTTACTCGAAGAATATAAAAACATTCAAGAAACATGCGGAATTGATGCTTACTTTTGAGGCAACTGTTTTCGTTGTGAATGTTACAATGAACGATCTAAGGTTGTCTATTCAATCAGAAGTGGTTCTCAAATAATTAGTACCATTCGCGCAAAATACTATTCTGAACAAAAACAAAAAAAACAAGTAAGCAAATGAATACTTCATTTTATTTAATTGATTTCGATAGAAAACTTTTCCAATCGGTATTATTCTTCTTATTTTCTGTTTGTTAAGGTCGGATCAAAGTACAAATGTTATTATGATAAAAATAATGCAAAAAATGTTATCTGGAAAATCAAGCCCGATCGATCTTATCTTGTTTCTAGTATA